CTCTCTCTCTCTCTCTCTCTCTCTCTCTCTCTCTCTCTCTCTCTCTCTCTCTCTCTCTCTCTCTCTCTCTCTCTCTCTCTCATTTTTTCCCCTTTCTCTTCCCCTTTGCTGGCACAGTCTCCCAGCCATCGGCCACTTCTTCAGCAGTCAATCCTGGACCCGCAGCATCAGGCACGCCAGCAATGGAACCTGCCTGGCTTCCTGCAGCAGCACCCAATTGACCGTCAGCTTCGGAAGCTACCCTCTGTGCGCCACCTCCAACCTCTACCTCCATCTCCTCACCTCCTACTCCCCTGGCTGCACTAGCACCATCGCTTCCTCTGGCTGTATCCTCCTCCATGACATCCATCGCATTTTCGCCCTTCTCGTTGTCGTCATCCTCATCGTCATTGTCATCGTCATCATCGTCATCCTCCGAGCCTCCAGTTTTCACCCGCTGGCTGCTTGCTAGTGCGGACCTATTCCCGACGGAAGCAGCAAGCTTTAGAACTCTATCAAATTTGCAATCCCTGCAATCATCGTACATGTTCAGCAAGTCATCTGCGACCTGTTCAATGCTCCCATCATCGAGTTCCGTGTTGAAACTGTCTGTCATCGCCCTATCCAACAGATTCTCAAGCTCGTCCGGGTATAAATCTTTCGTAGAGTAGAACCAGTCCACGATCTGATCGCCCAAGGCAATCTCCTTTGCATGGCTTTGTCTGCCTCCCCATCCATTCTCCACCGCAAGCTGAAGCGCTGTCCATCTTCCTAGGATAAGCCTCACACCCTGTCTAAAGAATGCATCCCTGTCAGCTCCACTGCCGACTGACGAAGGCGCCGCTGAAGCTGCTGCCGAGGCAGTTGATACTCCTGCTGGTGCGGCAGCGGTTCTTCCACTGCCACTCATCTTTTTCTTTTTCGTTCACTTGTCTTCTAAAAAGGGCCCCGGGATTGCGGGGGGGAAAAAAAAAAAACGCAATCCGTTCGAGAAGAAGGGGGGGGAGGAAGGCCCGAATGGCTGACCCAGGGTAGCAAAAGCTGCCCTGAATTAAACCGCAGATTTAACCCAGCGTTAACTCAGAATTGCAGCTTGGTCGGTTGACTGAGATTGATGGTAACCAAGGGTGACGATTACGACTGCAGGTCCTGCCTGCATTACTCGTTGGCGTTGTCGATGGGGGGAACGGTTAAGCATCTGCTGCTTCAAGAACAGCAAAACGGAAGAGCTAATCAGTCAATTGTGATTGATGATAACCTCCTCGACCAAAAAAGCCAACCTGGAATGCCCTTTCTTCATTCTCCGCAGCCGTGCCTCAATGCGGACATATCGACTTGGGTGCTGCAATGGGCATCTGCAGCCAAGGCCTGGTGATAGAACGGACAAAACACAAGTGATCTCCCATTTGTTAATCACCAGCACTAAACAGTCATAAGACTCATAATTCAAGGAGGTCTTTTTTGTAGGTAACGAGCCGCAGTTCGAGACCTCACGCTATCTACAGAATGCAAGAAACACACACGGTGCTCAGTAAATGACAATCTCAAAGAGGTAGCAAGTCGAACAGCGACAAGACTAAGAAAGGAGGAGAGTTGGATGAGGAGGAGGAGGAGGAGGAGGGGAAGGAGGAGGGGAGATAAAGTCGTATAATAACTAATTGAATACAATGCTTTTGATCTCCTATCCCCTTCTACCTCCCTCCCTCCCGGCACTCCTCCGTCATCTCGCCACTTTTGTTCTGCAGTCATCAACCTCTCTCTCTCCCAACGGAGAAGCCTCTGCCTCCTTTTCCCCAACACCACTTCCTCAACATGCAAAGTCATGCTCCATCGCAATATTTTATCCATCTATGTGCGTCATCCTTGCGCACGGGCATGCTTATTAATCGTCTCTGTATCGTTCCAGTTCTAACGGATGTCCCAAAGGACTCCAACATCGATCCACTAAGACACAATGGAGAATAACACCGGTCACAGCGACGCCGGCCGTCAGAAGCAAAGCGCTGTTGTCCTTCCACTCACGGCAATATCGACACGTAACTCTCTCTCTCTCTCTCTCTCTCTCTCTCTCTCTCTCTCTCTCTCTCTCTCTCTCTCTCTCTCTCTCTCTCTCTCTCTCTCTCTCCAGGGATCTGTCGTTGCAACTTTGTGATGCAGACATTCCCTCTCACACAGGCAGCGAACTCATTCCACATTCCGTTCCACGAATAACGGACTCATGACAATGCCACTTCGGAAGCAGCAGGCGCGGCTGTCGTATCCAGTGAATGCGAGATCGACAAAGCAAGTCACAACTACCATGCTCCTTCCTCTTTATGGGAAAAACGCGGTCGCGATTTCCACCCTCTCGGATGTTCTGATGCGCAAAGCGGTTGCACCCTTCGAGGGTTTCGCGTTTGCGATCTCAATGGACTCAAAGCAACGGCACTGCAAAAGACAGCAGGATGTGTGGCTTTCATATCCAGTGATTCAGAATGCGAAGTTTGACAAGTAAGTCACATCTACCATATGCTTCTACTCCCCCCAATCTTCCAATGGCCAAGGACGATGCATCTATCAAGGGTTTGTGCGTTCGCAATGTCTAATTACACCGGTTATTTGCGATGCTGTTCTATCCCCGGTCAATGCGAAGCACGACGAAGCACTGGTGTCTACAATTCCCCTTGGCGTTCAATCTTCATGGGAAACAAGATTGCCGTGTTTTTTCACTCTCCCGAGTGTCACGATGGGCAAAGCAGGTCCATCCATCGACGGTTTCGCATTCGAGAATCCTCTCTCCCTAACCACACCTGAAAGCCACGGCAACTTTGATGGCAGCGCATCATCTGGGAGGTGCATCCTTCGATGGTTTCACATTCAAAAATCCTCTCTCCCTAACCACACCCGAAAGCCGCCAACTTTGATGGCAGCGCATCTGGGTATCTCTGAATCCAGACAGGGATTCCATATATAGCAAGGGCAAGTAGAACCCCTGTAACATGGGTTGTTATCACGTACAGGTACGCTTGGTATTGCTTCTTCGGAGACGTCCGGAGTTTGTGCACTTCCAACACAAACGTTGAGACTGTGCTTAGGCAACCTGAAAAGCCCATCTGAATAGAAGAAGTGACAAGCTTTGGCCAGTAGGTTGGGTACTCCAGAGCCAGCACAGACAGCATGGCAGAAGCAGCAGCGCCTAGCATGTTGGCGGCAAATGTGCCAAGCGGCATCCATGCCAGCCAACGAAGAAGCTCACGCTTGGGGTCACCCGGCGACAGACGGTTTAGAGCCCCCAGCCTCCACCTCAACCAGACACCCGGAGCCGAGATGGCGATCGACATCCACAGCTTGCGCCGACGGAACGAGCTGGAGTCCGTCACGGTTCTAGAAATGGCCCCCGCCATCAACAAAAGCCAGGAAACCGCAAAGATTGCTAGCTGCGCGTACTTGCGTCTGCAAGTGGGAGCAGGGGTACTGGAGGATCTACCGCCATCCAACGCGGCCGGTGAACCCGCTGCATCTGCGTTCGGATTCTTATGTCTGAACCGTACAGCGCCCATGACAGCTCTGCCCACATCCTTTCCTATCAACAGGGACATGAACGACAGTTCAAACCCAACCAGCAAGCCCAACAGTCCCCTCACCCAGAATCCGGCAGCGAACATAGCGGCCATGCGCTGATTCCAACTCGCAAATGTTGTGAGGCACCCGCAGAACCCCGTCGTCAGACCCACAAACACCTCCTCTGAATAGGACATTAGGCTATCTCTCCAGGCCATTGCGACAAAGCCCATGACGAAGCAGCCAAGCATGTTCGCAGGCAGATCTAAAAACAAGGGGGACCATTCACCCATAACTTTCTCTGAGGATCGCTCAAACAATATACCGAGGCCATAACGTACTGCGACTCCGAACACAGCAAACACTGCAAAGCATGAGGGAATCAAAAGCCTATCTCGCGCAATACACAACGCATTGTCACAGTTGCAAGAGAGAACCCTTGCAGCAGGGCCCTTTAGTGCTGTTTCACCATTGTCATCCCCTGTGCCAATCATCATGCCAGGAAGACGTTACTCGCGCTCTGTTAGACGAGTGAGGTCGGCGCCTTCAATCGCTGCGGAGGGTTCACTTCCTGTAGACAGCCAACAAGATGTGGTAAGAAGGGTGTCGGAGTCCCATAGACTGTACAGCGCAGCAGGCTATTACGAGCTGCTGACCTGTGGCGTCGGACAGAACATGCACAGTCCAGCAGGCAGAAGGTTGGCTTCCCATCATCAGTAACCCCTGACGAGGCGACCGAACTGCGTTTTTCAGTTCGCATCGTGGGGATTGAACCACCAGTGTACCCAAGGCTTTTATTTTTTCCGGCGCAGGTTTTTGCCCGGATCTAGGCGCATGGTTTGCCTGGCGCTGCTAGCCTTAGTCCCGCATCGGCACCGCCAAGCCTTTACGTAGCCGGAAATGCGAGCCGTCGTCGCGCATGGTTTGCCTGGCGCTGGCGCTGCTAGCCTTCGTCCCACATCGGCACCACCAAGCCTTTACGTAGCCGGAAGGGGCTTTTCCAATGGTAGGGCCATCCACTGGCGGTTTGAAGACAAGGGTTCGGCCCTCTTCCCACATCGACACTAACGCGCCTGAGGGTAACCGCAACCTGACGGTTGCCTCGTGTTTTTGAATCAATTGAGCAAAAGTTCCTGCAGCCCGAACGAATTTGGCACGTAGCCGGAAGGGGCTTTTCCAATGGTAGGGCCATCCACTGGCGGTTTGAAGACAAGGCTTCTGACAAAAGCCAAAATTGTGCTCCAATCATTCATTCATCTCCGCATGAGGCATGCTGCCACCATCATGAGGAGAGACGGCAGAAGCACACCAGAGGTGACTGACGTCACCCTATAACACTACCATCTTCCCCCGAACACAGCACACCCTCATCATGACGGCGCCGAAACAGGGAAAGGGGCGTGTATACGTTCACGATGAGGGTGCACTACGTTCAGGGGAAGATGGTAGACAGCAGTAGAAGCTTGTAGTCGGTCCCTGGCCCCTCTCTTAATGAAGCCACCACACCGTAGATCGCAGGGCAGGGCAGGGTTGGGTGGGGCAGGACGGCGAAGGGCATGACTGTATTGGACAGCGAAGGGGGCTTGCATACACCCATGATGAGGGTGCATCAAAAGGCGCTAGACAGCAATAGAGGCTCACGGTTGGTCCTTGCACCCTCTTATAATAAAGCCACCACCATGGATGGCAGGGCAGGGCAGAGTTGGGTCGGGCAGGACGGGGAAGGGCATGACTGTACTGGACAGGGAAAGGGGCTTGTATACGTTCATGAAGAGGGTGCATCGTGTTCCAGCGAGAAGCGCTAGACAGCAGTAGAGGCTCACGGTTGGTCTCTGCACCCTCTTGTAATAAAGCCACCATAGACGGCAGGGCAGGGGGGGTTAGGGGTGGGCCATGGCGGGACGGGGCAGGGTGGGCCACAGTCAGGGGGGGGG